CCTGTGGGTCCTTCCCAGCTCAGGATATTCTGGGATTCTGTGATTCCATGATCCCATCCCTCACTGGTGGGTGGTGTTTGGGAGCACCCAAGATGCCAGCAGGGACCAGACCCCTGGCCCAAAATTTGGCCCAGGGCAATAACATGGATTCCACATGGGCCACACGCTGTGCCACAGCACAGGGATCCACAGAGGCCCTGGCACAGGTTGCCCAGAGCAGCTGTGGCTGCCCCTGGATCCCTGGAAGTGTCCAAGGCCAGGTTGGATCAAAGGAGCACCCTGGGCTGGTGGAAGGTGTCCCTGCCCATGGCAGGGGGTGGCACTGGATGGGCTTTGAGGTCCCTCCCAACCCAAATGACAAATAACCACTCCAGAAATGTGGTTCTGCTTCTTATTCTGAAAGAAACGCAGCAATAAAGTCCTCTGAACCTGCATTAATCTTGGCGAAGAGCAATGGTTCTGTCACAGCTTTTTACCTAAAGTTTGTTGTGGGTTTTTTTGTGAGGGTGAATGTGCAACAGAAGGTTTGCAACAGATGCTTTAACCTTTATTATTTCCCCACTAGAATTGAGAGGAAAATTGCAACAATATCATTGGAAAGCAAATCTCCACAGAAGACTGTTGAAAATGGTACGTGTGGGGAGTGTCAATTGTCTGTGGTGCTGGTGGGACTTGGGGCTGGGTGTCTGCCCCTGACTGAAGCTGCCAGTCAACAGCAGGTTTCTCTTTGCTGCTGGGCAGACTGAAGTTCTTAATTATAACTGAGACTGGTGGCCAGTAATTAAAGATTTTGGGTCACTTCCTTCTGCAGTCACAGGTCGCCAAAGGTCTGACCACTGTTTTCAGTGTTGCAGGGTTTGGGGAGGGGTCTGTAGGACAAAGGCTGAGGGAAAAGTAGATCAATATTCTCAGACTTTTTCAGAGCAGTAAAGGGAAGGTTAAGAGCTCTTAGCTGACTTCACAATTATTTCTGCCCTTGGATCAGACTCGTAAAATGAAAGATAAAAAATGTGGGTGTTGCCCAGGGAAGGGAAGGGAGCTGGGAAAGGGGCTGGAGCAGCAGGAGCAGCTGAGGGAGCTGGGGGGGCTCAGCCTGGAGAAAAGGAGGCTCAGGGGGGACCTTCTGGCTCTGCAACTCCCTGACAGGAGGGGGAAGCTGGGGGGGGGGGTTCAGGCTCTGCTCCCAGGGAACAGGGACAGGAGGAGAGGGAACAGCCCCAAGCTGTGCCAGGGGAGGTTTAGATTGGATATTGTGGAATATTTCCCCATGGGAAGGGTTGTAAAGCACTGGCACAGCTGCCCAGGGCAGTGGTGGAGTCACCATCCCTGTTCAAACAACGTGTGGCACTTGGGTTAGTGGTGACTGTGGTGCTGGGCTGGTGGTTGGACTCGATGATCTTAAAGGTCTTTCCAACCTCAATGATTCCGTGGGTTTGTAAAACCCTGTTCTCAGTGAAAACTGAGCATTGAATGCCTTCGCTCCAGTGAACGTTGGTTTTTGACCTCCCCAAAATCTCCTCCCGGCCCAGGCGGCAGCTTGAACGGGCGGAAACAAGCACAAGGCACCGAGAACATGAACAGCAGCAAATGGAAATCGACTTTCTCCCCGATCTCTGACATCAACCTGACCAAAACCACGGACAGCCCCTTGCAGGCGGGCTCTGCCCTGAGCCAGACCTCGCTGTTCTCCTTCCGGCCGCCCCCCGAGGAGAGCCTGGGCCTGGACGGCGCCAAGGCCGCGGCGCACGCCAGGAAGGGCCTGGCCGTGGGCTCGGACGGGCTCAGCCCTGGCACCAACCCCTCCAACGGCTTCGCCTACAACGGGGGCCTCTCCGCCGAGCTGGGCCTGCACGGCTTCATGGACGGCGCTTCCCTCCCGCACAAGGCTCCGGATGGGAGCGCTGCCAACTGCTCCCTGGGCTTCCAGCGGGGCAAAGACGCGGCGGCCGCGGCCGACACCAACCTGTTCCTGAACAAGAGGCAGCTGGAAGGGCTGGGCGGCTCCAAGGGGGACGAGCTGAGCCGCCCGGGGGCCAAAGGCAAAGAGCCGGGCGAGCTGAGCGGCCGCGCGGGGGGCTCCTCGGACAAGGGCGCCCTGCAGCACAACGGGAAGGCCGGCAAGGGCAGGGACCGAGAGGTGGAGTTCAAAAACGGCCACAACCTTTTCATTTCTGCTGCTGTTTCGTCTGGTGGCCTTCTGAACGGGAAAAGCCTTTCTACTGCCGTTTCGTCAGCGGGCAACCCGGCGTCTTCTGTCCCGACGCACCACCCCTTCCTCAACACTCTGACCACTGGATCGCAGTTCCCCCTCGGCCCCATGGCCCTGCAAGCAAACCTCAACTCGGTGACAAACTCCTCAGTATTGCAGTCCTTATTTAATTCCATGCCAGCTGCTGCCAGTCTGGTCCACGTGTCATCAGCTGCAACCAGACTGACTAATTCTCACACTATGGGGAACTTCTCTCCTGGGGTTACAGGTGGAACAGTTGGAGGTAGGCAGAACTCTTTCTCTGGTATAAGGCAGGGCCTAAAGGAAAGCCTGACGCTGCCTCTCCAGGGGTGAAACCCTTTCATTTCTACAGGATGTGAAGCAGATGTGTCCCACATAAGCAGTCTCCTCTCTCTCTGTCTCTCTCTTGGAATTGCTAGGATGAGTTCAGTTCCCCACAGTGAAGTCTCATGAGCTTTGTCTGCTAGATGAGCTTGTTGTATCACCCTAATGAAACAATGCACCCAGACTTTGTGATTGCTTATGTTTGCTTGTTCAGATGTTGCTGTGTTGGAACCGACTTAGGTCTGACTGCAGGTGACAGATCTCACTTGTCGTGGTACCGAGTTAAGGATCTCTGACTTGTGAACTTGAGTCGAGGTTGGGAATAGGCCTGGAGTGGATTTAGCGTGATCCAGGAGGAGCAGAGCATCAGAGGAGATGGTGTGGGGAGTTTCCTAGCAGCTCTGGCTCTTGAACGGACACGAAGAGCGTTTGTTGGCCAGGAAGGGCAATGCCATATGCACCTTGCACTTCTGGGGTTCTGCACAGGCTTGGCTTCTGTGGCCCACACCGGGGACAAGCTGGCAGGACCAGAAGATAGGCTGGACCTGCCGTTTCGCAGTGTCCAGGGCAGTTTTCCTTACCTGTCCATGCTCACTCAGGCTCCATGTCGGGAAATCCTAACTCTCCCCTCTCTCAGCACGTAGATTGGCTGCAGTGACAGCTCCCCTCTCTGCTGCCCTGTAAGCTGGGGAGCAGGAGGGTGGGGAGGCAAGAGCAGCACTCTGAGTCTCCAGATAAACCGACTCTAAAAGACCACGTAATCTCATCCCAACCCTGCCTCTGTGCTGTAGAACTGACAGTTCTTGGGGCTGACCATTTTCCCTCGTGGCATTTAGAGGTTGGCAGTAGGAAAGGTAAGTGGACTCTTTTGTACCTCCTGGCCTGCACCATTATCTCCCATCGCTTGCTGCCTTCTCACGCTGCATATTTTTGTATGGGGCTGGACCATTATAATTTTGCTTTATTTATTTTTATTTTTTTTTTTTAAATCTACTTATTTATTTTGCTTCTTTGTTTGGTTTCTCTTGTCACTTTGAGACTGTACAAAAGCCCGTCTTGTTGAAGCTGAGTTTTTCTTCTCCTGTTTGCAGGTATTTTTAACCACGCGGTGCCTTCTGCCTCCTCCTCTCATCAGTTTGGAGCCAGTTTCAGCAGCAGTGCTGTCTCTAGCAGCACGGTGCTAAGCTTAAACCCTCTGCAGGCTGTTGCCAGCACCTCATCCTCATCCTTCCCACCCTCTGCCTCTAATTTAGTAACATCTAGCGAGGCTAGAGCCGCTCAGCCCCTCAGCAGGGCGCCTGTGCAGCCCGTTTTCCACCCCCCTCCTAACGTGTCCTTGCCTCCCCCTCCTCCTCTGCTCGCTTCTAACCCCGAGCCCGCGCTCCTGCACAACCTGCCGTCCCTCCCGGCCGGAGAAACATTCCTGCCCTCCTCCACCACCACCTCCTCCTCCACATCCTCCTCCTCCTCCTGCGCTGCCTCTGTCCAGTCTAACTCTTCTTTGTCTCTCAAACTCGCCTCCCTGCAGCACAAACCCTCCCGCCCCTCCTTCACCGTGCACCACCCGGCCGTGCCGCGCGCGGCGCTGGCCCCGCCGCCCACCGGTGCCGGCGCCATGTGGGTCACCCTGGGCGTGCAGCCCCCCCTGGCCTCGCACCTGCCGGGGGTTAAACCGCGCTAAGGGCGCCCGGCCTGAGCCGGCGGGGCTGGCTCTGCAAGGTAAGGCTGGCACAGAAACCACCCCCCACCCTGGGGGGACACCCCGGGGTCAGGAGGGCTCGTTTTGGGCACAGAGAGAGTGGGAGGGGTGGGGGGAGAACCCTCTGAAACGGGGGGGGAAATGCTTGGAAGTGGGGCGAGGATGCTCTGAAATGGGAGGAAGATCCTTTAAAGTGGGGCAAGAATGCTCTAAAATGGGGGAAAATGCTCTGAAGTGGGGCAAGAATCCTTTAAAATGGGGGAAAATGCTCTGAAGTGGGGCAAGAATGCTGTAAATTGGGGGGGAAATCTTCTGAAGTGAGGGAGGGATCTCTTAAATTGGGAGGAGCGTCGTAAAAGGGAAAGGATTCTCTAATATGGGGAGAGAACACCGAAAACGGGAAGAATCCTGTAAAATGGGGCGAGAATCCTCTAAAATGGGGGAAAATCCTCTAAAGAGAAATCCTTTAAAGTGGGGCAGGAATCCTCTAAAACAGGGGAAAATCCTCTAAAATGGGGCGAGAATCCTCTAAAATGGGGGAAAATCCTCTGAAATGAGGGAAGAACCCCCTAAAATGGGAAGAATAGGTTTCTTCCCTATAAGAAGGGAAGAAACTGTAATGGGGAAAGAATTCTCTAAAGTGAGGAGAAAACCTCTAAAACGGGAAGAATTCTGTGAAATGGGGCAAGAATCCTCTAAAACTCGGGAAGAAACCTCTCAGATGAGGGAAAAATCCTCTAAAATAAGGCAAGAATCCCTTAAAATGGGAAGAAACAGAAGGGGAGAAATCTGTAACAGGGAGAGAATTCTCTAAAATGGGAGAAAAATCCTCCAAAATGAGGAAAGAATCCCCTAAAATGGGAAGAAGTGTCTGAAAAGGGAAGAAATAGGGAAAGAATTCTCTCAAGTGGGGAGAAAACCTTTAAAATGGGAAGAATCCTCTGAAATTGGGAAAGAAACATCTAAAATGGGCTAAGAAATCTCTAAAAGAGGAAGAAACTTCTAAAATGGAAAGGACCCTCTAGAATGGGGAGAAACCCCCTAAAATGGGAGTAGGATCCTCTAAAATGGGGAGAAAACCCACTAAAACAAGAAAAATTCTCAAAAATGGGGGAAGAATTCTCTAAAATGGGGAGAGAAACCTCTAAAACAGAGAAAAAAAAATCTCTAAAATGGGGGAATAATCCTCTAAAATCAGTGAAGAAACATCTGAAATGGAAAAAAAAGCCTCTAAAATGGGGGGGAAGAAACCTCAAAAATGGGGGAAGAATGCTCAAAAATGGGGGAAGAATCCTCAAAAATGGGGAAGAATCCTCAAAAATGGGGGAAGAAACCTCTAAAATGGGGGAAGGGTACTCTAAAATGGGGGAAATAATCCTCAAAATGTGGGAAGAATCCTCAAAACTGTGGCCCAAACCCCTGTGAAATGTGGGAAGGAGGTCACCCGGTGGCAGAGTCAGGATTTCTCGACAAGGAGTGCTCACAGGGGGAGCTGCTCTGGCCCTTTTTAGGGTCGTGCTCAGGATTGTTGGGCAGTGTTCACTTCTGAGGGTCAGCAGGCAGGAGGAAATGTCTGGTTTTTAGGGTGGTTTCAGGGAGTTTTAGGGTTTTTTTTGTCCCACACTTGTCCGCTGGTGCCGCTTGGGGCCTGCCCGTGGTGGTCTTGGTTTCGCTGCCAGTCAACAGCAACTGCTCTAAATAACCATCCAGCTCCAAATCTCCAGGTTTTGGGCTCTGGAGGGCGAATTCCCTGGGGAATGCAGGGCACCCCGTGGATGAGAACTCAGGGAATGCTCAGGGTGGAGGAGAGGAGGGTTCCACAGGCTGTTCTTCCCCAAGCAGGTATTTGTCTCCAGGGCAGCTCCAGAACAAACTGTCCCACCCCAGGGTGGGGGGCTGTGGGTGCTGACAGTGCCTGGACCCCATCCTGCTGTCACACAACTCGTTGCTTTGCCAAGGGCCACCAGCCCTGGAGTTGGCTCCGTGCTTTCCTTGTAGGTCTGTGCTGTTGTTGTGTCCACTGATCCCCAAAGCTCCAAAACGTGGTTGAAAACACTCTCTTTTTTTTTTTTTTTTTTTTTGCTGCTTATAAAAATTACAATATACCTGAGAGAGATTCTTTGTGCATTGTGTTATAAAAGCGGTTTTCCTCACCAAATTGCTCCCACAAAACCTCCCCTTGGGGGGGGGGGTGGTTTGTGAGGCACGTAAGTATTTCCCTCCGTCCTTCCCACGGGAAAAGGAGGCTGAGGAAGGGGCTGTGTGTGGGGTGGGAGAGCCTGAGCAGAGACAGGATGGGGAAAAGTGAGGGTGGGGCTGCTGAGGAGGGGCAGGTTTGGGGTTCTGTGTGGTGGGAACCCCTGGACACGAGGCCATGCTGGTCCCAGTCACTCCAAATTCAGGATAATGGACAGGAAAATGGCTTATGGAGGAGAGTAGGGGGGTGGCAAAGCTGGGGAGCAGAGCTGATGGCAGACTGGTGGTGATCCTGCTCCCTGTGACTCGAGCAGTGCCACTGGTTTGGGAGGGAATGTCTGTGTGGAGGGAATTACCTGTGCCCAGGCTGAACCAAGGCTGACATCTGGCACTGGGGGCTCAAATCACCTGCTTTGCTTCTCTGCTCTGGAGCCAGGCTGGGACAGCTGGGGGGGTTCAGCTGGAGAAGAGAAACTCCAGGGAGACCTGAGAGCCCCTTGCAGGGCCTAAAGGGGTTCCAGGAGAGCTGGAGAGGGACTGGGGACAAGGGATGGAGGGACAGGACACTCTGTGCCAGAGGGCAGGGTGAGATGGGATATTGGGAAGGAATTCCTGGCTGGGAGGGTGGGCAGGCCCTGGCACAGGTTGCCCAGAGCAGCTGTGGCTGCCCCTGGATCCCTGGGAGTGTCCAAGGCCAGGTTGGGATAGTGGAAGGTGCCCAAGGCAGGGGGTTGAAGATGATCTTTAAGGTCCCTCCCAACCCAAACCAGCCTGGGATTCACAGCTTCTCCCTTGTGGTGTTAAAAAATCCAAAGCGGATTAAGGTGTGGTACAAAGAGTGAAGTGCTGAGGAGGGGGGATCCTTTCTCCCTCACTCCAGGTCAGCCAGAGTTCATCCCAGTTCCACTGTCAGCTCAGAAAGCTGCAGGTTGAGGGGCCCTGTGTCTCTTGGATCGTCCACCCTTCCATCTAACTGGGACTGGGCCGAGAGCTGCTCCGTCTCTGCTGGCTGAGGAGGCCTCGGAGCAGAGTAGAAATGCTTGACACATCTTAACACCCAGCAGGTTTTTGGTCTTTTATTTAGATGAGTCTCTTCCTCTCCTCCTGTTGTGCAGGTAACTAGGATTTCTACCTCAACCCAATGTGACCTATGCAAGGACAACGTGGACCAACTTCACTCGGCTTCCACTGAAAGGTGCTCACCTGGCCTGTGCAGGGGTTTCTACTCTCTTACTACTGGACAAAATAAAAACCACACACACACACACACAAAAAAAAAAGACCTAAACAACAGAGCAAACATTTACTGTGAATCTGAGTTTAAAAAAACAAAAAAAAAAAAAAAAAAAAAAAAAAAAAAAAAAAAAAAAAAAAAAAAAAAAAAAAAAAAAAAAAAAAAAAAAAAAAAAAAGAGGAAAAAAAAAGGCAAAAAAAGAAAAAGGCAAAAGAAACGCTTAAAGCTCCAGTTTGTATTGTCGATAGTTTAGATAAAGTATTTATCTTTTTTTAAAGTGAAAAAAACAATTTTGACTTATTTTATTCCACCTAGACTCATGAATACAAGTTATTGTTGAATTCTCTGAATACTACAGGACTGGCACACCAGCAGAGACGTAAAGAGCCTCCTCGGTGCTATTTTGTCCGTCAGAACTGTGCCTCTAGTCTGAACCCTTGGTGCTGATCTGGAGGGGTGACCAATGCCAAACCCAGTTCTTGGGAAGGCCTGCAGCTTGTTTATCCCCCTGACTCTGTTCATATCCCCAAATCCACCCGGCTGGCAGCAGAGTGGGCGACACAGGAGGGAATTCCCCTCCCTGGGGGGGGGTGATTTGGGTGCTGCCAGCCGGGTGGGGTTTGAGTTGTGTGCGTGGCCAAGAGCTCCAGGGCACGGCTGGAACACGAAGCTTCCAAGTGCTGCCCCTTCCAAACTCCTCCTCTGGGCCATTTGCTGGTGGCACTCGGGTCACTGTGAATTTTGGTAGCTGTGTCTGGTCGCTCCCCGTGGGGGTGTGAACAGGGCGTGTCATCCATCACTGGTGTGGGTCCAGCCCTTTTCCCAGCCTCGGGAAGACTGAACCTCTTGTTGTTTCCTGTCCTGCTGCAGGTGGCAGATCCCCCCCCCCAGCTTGCTGGTTTTTGTTCCCGGTGTTTTGTTCCGGTAGGGTTTTGATACTTGACTCTGAGCTGGCTTAGCCCTGTACATTTATTGACCAAGTGCATTTTTTTGCTGTGGTGTTCCTCTGCTTTCAGTAGGTCCTGAGTGGTAGTTCACAAAAACACCCCTCTCTGCCTGGCCCTGGGTTGTGTCGTGACTCGTGTACAGAAAGGGCCTCCGAGAGGCTGATTTTTATGGAGATGTGGTGGAAACTTCGGCGTTTTCTGGTGTTTGGTTTCGTTTTTAGGTTGTGCAGCGCACGGTGGACTTGTGAAAAGTTATTTATTCGAGTGCACAAAGGGGAGGAAGAGGAGGATTCCAGGAGGAATCAGGCTGGGCCAAGCGCTAAGAGAGCCAAGCACATTGGAAGGGGGGGATGGAACAGGGGAGTGACTGCAAAAACCACACCGAGGCTTTGGGAAACCCCTCCCTGCTGACCCTGGTGCTCTGAGGGGCAGCGGTGGCTGCTCTGTGTCCTTCAATCCCTCCTGGGGAGTGTCCCACCTCCAGCAGCCAGGCTCTGGCTGTGAGCATCCCTGGGTCACCAGCAGCTGGAAAACCCCTGCCCCTGGAGGAGCTGAGGTCCCTCTGCCCTCCTGGGCTCTCCTGCTGCCTGGATCCAGGAGCAGGCTTGGGAATGCTGCCTTCCAAGGGCAACCTTAGGAGAGATTTAGGGCCAAGTGCAGTTGTTTTGTTGGTTCCTGGGCAGCCTTTGTGAGCAAACTGGGGGTCTGACTTTGCCTCCTCGTTCCCTGGGAAGGGAAGGGAGTGACAGCCCTGGGAACTGAGGAAATTTGGGAATGTTTTCTGCTCTGTGGATGGGGCAGGGCTGGGCAGTGGAGCTCCTGCTGAGGGACTGACAGCACGATGAAAGCCTGGAAAGGGCAGCAGAGCTCCGAGGGGGTGAGGGAGGAACATCCAGTAGCTTCTGGTGGAAGCCAAACACAGTGTCCTGGGATCCAGGAGGACAATGTAACCCAAATGTTTTGCAGCTGGGAGCTGGGCAGCTCCAGCTTCTTTCCCAGCCCAGAGCAGGGTGCTGGGGCCTCTGGAGGCTTTAATGAGTGATTAGTGGAAGGGCAGAGACCTCAATTAGTGACATCTCCCCCCATCTTTGGTACCTTCCGTGAGAGAAGAGTGAAGACAAGGAGAAGCTTTTCATCCCCCTGATTTTATCAGGCCCCTGTCTGCAGAGGGACCAGGAGGACATGGTGCTCCTTGGGCCTGCTGTGCCCCCCCTTCACCCCAGACCACAGAGATCAGCACAAGGACTCTGCCCCCACCCTTTGTCCTGGGCAGGGAGGGCTCGGCTGGGCTCGTGCCCGAGGCGCTCACGGGGCACGTGGGGAGGTGCTGATGGAGAAGGAACCAACCCAGAGATCCTGTGGAACCCCCCCTGCTTTCCAGCACTGCTGGCACTCCTTGGATGCTGAGGATGGACAGATCCTTGTGGTGGGAATGACCCTCCTTGCCCTGACCTTGGCAGCGTTCTGGGAGCAGGACAGGCACTGGAGGCTCTTCACAGCTGGACTGGGATCTCAGAGCTCTTTTCCAGCCTCAGTGATCCCGTGATTCCATGACCCTGGGAGAGCAGTTTGCCCTCTGCTCTCCGGTGGGTGCTGCAGGAAGGGTTTCCCCCTGTCCCCCCTTGTCCCCTGGTGCCGGGGGGGGGCTGTGGAATTCCCTGCTGGAATGGGCAGCACAACCCCTGGATTACAGCACAGGGCTGTTACTGAGCCACTGCCAGCCCCCCATGGCCCTGAAGTTTGTGATCTCCAGAGTCATCCAGGGAGGCCCAAGGAAACCAGAGCTGCCCCAGGGATGTTGGGATGTGCTGGAAGGGGATCCAGTCTGGCTGAGCCTCAGCCCTCACCTACCTCTGCACCTGCCACTGCTGCCACTGCAGTGCTGCTTCCATCCTGGCACCCTCCCTGGAATCTGGAGCTGCTCTGGCTTCCCCAGTGTCTTCCCCCATCCTGGCCCCTTCCCTGTGCCATGGACCTGGTCCTGATCCCCGGGATGTGCTCCCAGAGGGGGCCTGGGAACGTGGTGCCTGCCAGAGCAGAGCTGGGGTGGGAAGCCAGGAGTGCAGGTTGGGATGTCTCAGTGCTGGGGGAGCCGGGAGATGATGTGGCCAAGAGATTCCTGGTTTTGTCTTCCCCTTCCCTGCTCTCTTCTGGCTTTGCAAGTTCCACTCAGCATCCTGGAACCCTGGGTTGGAAGTGACCCCCAGGGATCAGCAAACCCAAGCCCTGGCCAACTTGTTTCTCCTCTGTCTGCAAACTGGGAAGAGCTTTTTCCTCTCCGAAGGAAGAGCTTCGAGCTGGGATCTCCCCCACGTGGCTCCAGGCCCACGACCCCCTGACCCCTCTGTCTGAGCACCCAGCCAGAGCCTGAGACCTGCTTGTGATAACTGAAGATACTTTGGAGTGATCAAAGCCAAAAAAAAAAAGAAGAAAAAAAAGAGAATTCCTTCTGTGTTCCCACATCCTGCCATGGCTGTCACACAGGTCCCCTCTCCTCCACACCAGTCAGGAAGCTGAAATGCATCTTCTTGCCAAAAAAAAAAAAAAAAAAAAAAAGAAGAAAAAAAAATGGAGCTTCCTGAGGCTGAGGAAAACCTGTCCCTGCTGCTCAGTGTCAGCCTGGAGGAACAAGCTCTTCTGTTTTTTTGGGATTTGATTCCTCTGGCTCGCCGGGCCTGGTCCCCTGGGAGGGCTCCAAAGGCACCTGGACTGGGGATTTGCTGCAGATCAGTCACTATCCAGGGGTGTGGTGAGGATGCTGAGGGGGAGAGTGGGGAAGCATTGCTGGAGGATGGAGAGGTTTGTGGTGCTGGATCTGAGCTGGTGTGTGGGATAACGGGGATATTGAGGTGTCCCACCATCACCTCGTGCTGCACAGGGGGCTGTTTCCTTTAGGAAAAGGGTGGATCAGCCTGGACAAGCAGTGCTGGGAACTCTCAGTGGAGTGGAGGCAGTGGGAGAGAGGAGAAGGGGGAGCACCAGGGAGGGCAGCACATCCTCCCTGCACAGGACATTTGGGGCTGGGCATCACCTCCAGTGGTTCCTCCCATCAGCAGGAACTCGTGTCTCCCTGAGCAGACGGATCAGAAGGACTTTCTTGTGCTTCCATCTCATTTCCTTCCTTCCTGGTGCTGACAGCCCCTCATCTTTCAGGGCCTGGTTTGTGCTGCCCCCGCTCTAGGCTGGGGTTTGGAGAGCTTGTAGGGTGTGACTGTGATCCCCAGAGGCTGAAACCCCCCAGGCAGGAACGTTCCATCACTTGGTCATCCCTTTTTGAACCTCCAGGACTTGCTGCTCCTCAGCCTGAAGCTCTCCCAGCTCAGGTGCTGAGTCTCCTCAGTCAGTCCTTGAGGAGGTGACCTGTGCAGGTGTGACCTGGCAGTACGAAGGTTTCCAGCTTGATCAGCTCTTCCATCACCTCTGGAAACATCTGCACCCCAGAGCTGCTGGGCCTGGGCAGGGCTGGCTGGGGGGGTGTCCCTGCCCTCACCCTGCAATGTTTCCTTCTGAGGGGCGTGCTGGGGACAGTTCTTCAACCTCCTCCTTTTGGGGTTGGACTGGATGACCTTTAGAGGTCCTGTGATCCCTGTGATCCCTGTCTGGGATGGTCTCCTGGGCTTGGAAGGTGAGTGGGAGGGGGTGTGAGCCAGCCCTGCCCTCCCTGTTCCTGCAGACCCCCCCACACCACAGTGTGTGTTCCATCCCATCCCATCCCATCCCATCCCATCCCATCCCATCCCATCCCATCCCATCCCATCCCATCCCATCCCAGCCTTCCCTTGGAAGAGCCTGGATCTCCCTGCCCTGCCAGGAGAAGGTGGAATTTTCCTTTGCCGTGGAATAACGAGCCATGGACAGGAGGGGCCTCCAGGGTGGTTTGGTTCCTGCTGGGATTGTGTCTTTGGGAAGCAGCATCTGCTCCCATTTTTTTTTCCACATGGAAGAGAGTCCAGGCAGAGGAGAAGCCGAGGGATTGTGTGACAGGAGAGTCCAGGGGGTGCAGAGGGAACTGCTGGCTCTGGGTCAGGTGGGACACACTCTGAGGGGCAGCAAGTGCTTCCAGCTCCCCTGGGACTGTGGGATCTGTGGGATTTGTGGGATCTGTGCCCCTGGGATGCTCCTGCTTCCCTGTCCTGATTGCTGGAGGAGGAGATTTCCA